AAGAAAACGACGTTGCCCAACAATAATGTGTACTACACAGTAGCTAGATGAAATAATCAGTCACAAAGAGGAAATGTCAGATTGACTGATTCCTTCATTATTCGTGTAATCGTAGCATTTACTTATTCTTTGTTTATTTTATAAATATTTGTCAATTTAATTTCTTTTGCATTTATCATCAAAGTTTACGCCTAAAATTCAACGATATCAAAAACATCATGTCCATATAAAAAGGAAAAGATAATTCAAACAAGCTTTCCTCACATTTCAATTTGCTTTGGACCATAATGCACCAACAATAATCTCATCTGTATGCATTCATAAGTCTGGCATAATAAATTGATAGAAAGATGAAGAAATAAATATTTGAGGCCTTTTTATTGCATTGTTTCATGAATGGTGAAATATTTGCATACAACAAAAAAGAAAGCAGTCCCCATAATTTGATGAAATATTGCTATATCACTGGTATATTTTTACATTTGACCTTCAAATGTATCTACTAATGTGACTGAATACATGGATACAACAGCAAAATTGTAAAGTCAAAAATAGAACTTAGGGCCCATGGATTAATAAGTATTGGGATAAATAAATGAGTAACAAGGGTAAAGACAGATTAAAACAACGTCTGGATTCATATGAAAGAGCGCCTTAAAGAGATACTGAGTAGCAAGTAACGCTTTCGTGCGACAGGCAACTATCCATTGTATATTACGTACTCGTGGCAATATCAATTTAGTTACAGATTTTCAGAAGAAAACGACCGAAAAAGAAAAAAACTACAGAAGCATACATTCAGGTTATAGTTGCTGATGATTTTCAGCAGTGCATTTTAAGTTAGTGCCTTTTGATTTCTATAATATTTAGGTACAGTGGGCTTTAAACGTAAATATGAACAATTGTTTAACATATGTATGTATGTATGTATGTATGTATGTATGTATGTATGTATGTATGTATGTATGTATGTATGTATGTATGTATGTATGTATGTATGTATGTATGTATGTATGTATGTATGTATGTATGTATGTATATATGTTTTACTTTAATTGTTTAAAAAATATATTCTCTTTTAAGTATGAACATTTTGGACTTCATTTTAATGTAATGGTATATACGATTGGAGCTACTGTTATGACTGATGTTTTGTATACTTAGGAAAGATTTCAGGTCCATTCATGATTGTCGGTCCTTTCATTTTCTTCTCCTTACAAAATTCAACTCATACTTGCGTTTTTATGCGGTATGGATTATGGGCCTTTGTCAGTTGGAGCCTAGGGATATTACGCTTTTGAGCGGTATGAATTATGGGCCTTATGCACGTGCAGCCTACGGAAATTATTTTGGAGATTCTTGTGTAATGGATAATGTTGTTTTCGCATCTTTTTATTAGGACCGGTATCCGATAGATCACAGGTTTACACTCATAGTTTCCCAGGCACCGCGAACACTTGCATTTTGCAACATACAAAGTATCTGGGTATCTATTCTCGTCGTAGTCTCGTTCCACCTCCCAAGGGCACAAGGATCGGTGGTTCACTAGAGGGGACATTATTCGATCTACACGATGGCACATTTCATCGTCAATAAAAACTGACATCGTTAAATTGCTAATATCCGGTTGTGCTAGATGTTGCCACTTTAAGCGCCATATTCCCGTGTCCAGTATTTGCGTGTATTCAGAGTTGACACAGTAAGTTGACAAACAGCTCGGAATGAATTGCAGGTACACAACTAGCAACAGTCTGTAGAAACCTCCTGAGCTCTGAAACATACAAAAAACTATTTCAATGAGTCACATTCCGATTGCAGCCTATTTTCTTCCAATGTGTACAGTTATTATTTTTAAAACCATTGCTGTAATCATTCGATCATTCTTTTATCACTTTTGAATGATGATCCTAGACATAACCTTTTGTAGGGCGCTAAAAAGCCTAACATTGCTGGTGCGCCGTAAAATTATAATCAATCAGTCGAGCATTCTAGATGGCAGAAGTTATTATTTTGTAGATACAAATGGATATAATTCGTCTTGTGGGTGAAAAACTCAGGTGTATCCTCTTTGCATGCAGGGAATACTTCCAGATCTAACTCAAATACAATATTATTTTTGAGTATTGGTCATGATTACTTCTCTTATGGACTCAAAGATATCCCATGTTTGGAAAAAATGTCATATGTATAAAATCGACTAGCGTTAAATTCTTACAAGGAAGCACGTCTGCCAATGATAACATTTACGTGAACTGTGTAGTAAAAACTCACTTAATGAATATTGTTTCTTCATAAGAATGATTCATTTAAATTAGTACTTATAACGTTTTTAGTTTTAGTTTATATAGTTTTGTATATAAGTATACAACTAATTTATATGTAAATGTAATGTGCCTTAAATGTAAATATTCGAAGACCTGTATGGACGATAGCCTCTATCCTAATGTATCGCATCCTTACACATGGAAAAGAGCCTATAACCCAATGTATTGCATGATTACATATGGAAAATAGCTTCTATCCCAATGTATCGCATGATTACACATGGAAAATAGCCTATATCCCCATGTATCGCATGATTACACATGGGAAATAGCCTCTATACCAATGTATCGCATGATTAGATATGGAAAAAGTCTCTATCCCCATGTATCGCATGATTATGCATGGAAAATAGCATCTATCCCAGTGTATCGCATGATTAGATATGGAAAAAGTATCTATCCCAATGTATCGCATGATTACATATGGAAAATATCTTCTATCACAATGTATCGCGTAATTACATAGGAAAATATCATATATCCAAATGTATCGTATGGAAGATAGTTTCTAGTCCAATGTATCGCATGAATACACATTGTACAAGAAAGATGTATTCTGTTTCCACATGTTGATATTTTTGTCATATTTCTGTTACTGTGAAAGTGAACTGCCAAAGACTAAGACCTTTATAACATCTCCCAAATTTTGTAATTTTTAAATGTTTTCAATTAAAATTAAGCCCATGACTCATACGGAATAATATTGGGCGTTGGCAGAATTCACTCCTGGGTTTTCAAACAATAACTGATCCTTTCTTTCTACTTACAGTAGCATGCCTTAAGTGTAAATATGGAGTTTCGATATTTAGGTTTTCAGTTAGCATTAACACTGAAAATGCATGTTTTATTTTCTAATGAGATACATTTAAAATCAAAACGTAAGTCAAGCTGAAGTAACCAAACGACTTGACATGCCTCTAATGTATATTAAAGCCAATATGGTTTAGACTATAATCCGAAGTGAGGTAACTGGATCTGCCCGACACCCATCAGACGTAAATTAAAGCATTCATTTTAATGTCACTGTCTTCTACAAATCCTCGTACACAATATGCTAAAATGTCCAGTATTTACACAAATCAAACAAAACAAGCTAAACTAAAACAGATAGACAAACAAACAATTAATCAGAAACAGATAGTATACTGGAGTAAATTTGGTAATGATCTATTTAACATTTATCCGTGTTGACTCAACATGAGTTGTTACAACAATGTACTATTTACAATGATTTACATATCTTTTATGTAAGGTGTATCACCCTTCACGGAATTAACGGATCGACATTAAACTTCATATTGGCCAAACTCTTCGAATACTATACTCACCCTCAAACTAAGGGAATGAAAAAAATACATTTCTTTGATTGTACTAAAGTTAAGCTCAGAAGTAGGAACGTTACTCTATTATAAATTAACTATATGTAATAATATAGTGCTACATACCGCATTTAACAACGGAAACTTATTAACAAAGACCATATTTAACTTTTGGAATTTATGTTAACAAATATCGTATATACGTTTTGGGATGTATGTAACAAAGTACTGTATTTAACTGTTGGAACATGTATTACCAAGAACTGTATTTAACATTTGACACCCTTATTACCAAGTACCGTATTTAACTTTCTGTGCTTTATATTACCAAGTACTATGTTTAACTTTCTGTTCCTTGTATTACAAAATACTAATTTAACTTTCAGGTTTGAGCTTTTGTCAAAGTGTATGCGCTGAACCATATTGAGAATATGATCCTAGGAGAGAAATTCTGCTCCTGAGATAATGTCTTTTGATGGTTTCTTTAAACCTTTATGAATGTTCTCTCAATGAATCATTTTTTGTGCCCTTGTGATTTCTTGTACACAGAGTAATAAATTTCCGTGTCCATCTTTTATGTTTATTTACAACATTTCTAATACCAATTCAAGCTGAATTGTAAGCCGGTTTGTGCTGTGATATTCGGGGATCCCTTGTTTGCAGTTTCAAGATATTATTGGGTATATCAATGAAATATGTGCTAAGTGACTGTTTGATGGAATACACTAAAGTAGCCGACCCGTGCTGGCTTAAGCGGTTATCAAACTCGTGCCCCATGGATCACGAGTCCGTCGTTCTTCCAAATGAGCTACCGCAAAAGAATCCCTATGATTTCAAACACAAATTTAGAGGAATACTTTCATTACACATAAATCTAACAATTTTTTATTTAAGTGTAGTTAACTCTTCAAATGAAAAATAGTCAGAAATTTTGCCTTTCAGTACTACACAATTGATATAATCTTGCATACCTTGAGCTAGTATCCCCATTGACTATAACTTCTAATTTCTAATCTATTTTTAAAATTGTTCTCTGTTACCTGTTGCACTGTTCGTTGTTTGATTACAATGTTCACCTCTTCTCAACAAGAAAGAAACAAAGTGGTTTATGTATTAACGACAATTGAGTGTGATTTGTGTGATTTGGATATTTAACGCAACATGAACAATTTTTCAGTCAGATCGCTACGATGTCTGCAGTGTGGAAGTTTATAGTGATATCTAGCACTGAAGCATCATGTCGCAGACATGTAGCATGATGTCTCACCCAGTCACAATTTTCCACAGCAGGTCGACCAGTCCTAACACTATCCTTTTAATACTGAGCTGTTAGTACCATTTTAAAAAGTCTTTATTATGACTTGGCAGGGATCGAACCCGTGACCTCCTGCATTCAAGGCGGACGCTTTAACCACTAGGCCACCGGAGCGATCAAAGACAATTGAACTGAGAAACACTTTTACACGGGCTCAAGTGGTACTATTTTGTCTGTATAAACTGCCATTCAGGTCTCACGGGGATATATTTTTCATGACGTCAAGAAGAAAATTGCTTCAATGCAGTTTATTGATATACTTTGGTCGTACAACCAGCATATTCAAGAATACCAAATTCATAAACTCTGAAATGTCTTCATTTTATGAAATTTGAAAGGCAGACTCCAGATTACAAACGGTAATGTGAATATCGGAACTTTTGTGCGTTGTCCAAATTTCGTATCCTTTCTTCCACTATTCACCTAACAGGTTATCTAATGCAAATGAAGACTACACGTATTATTGTGCATGCCAAAGAAATAGTATAAACTTGCCTACGTCTACTGTTAATGTAAAGGAAAATGCATCAGTCCTACATTCCGATGGCTAACTCCAATCTCTTTTGCAGTATGCAGACCAGAGTCGTCATATTAGTTTTGTTCAATCTAACTATCGAAGTCCTTGAGATCTAGTTGAGCGAGATTACTGACAATGCAAGTCCGGACTAAACTGGTTGACATATTTTTCAATTCTGTTAGGCTATTAGGTGATAAAGGATAGAGAACCAAACAAGAATATGTTCTCGATATTATAACGCCAGTTCCTCAGAACATCGTTAAACCTGCCCTACTTACAAATGTAGTAACAAAACAGATCTCTACATACAGTTGTTAATATGATGACCTCAAAGTATGCATGAATTGAATTTTTTTTACGTTGGTTACTTTGAATAAAAATTGTTAATTTTAATTCGATATGTGGGTAATATAGCTCAACGCAAGTGTAGTTTATTTCTGTAAAAGATCACTTGATAGGGAGTTTTAAAAAAATAATTATTATCACATCTAGTTATTTTTGTAATAGGATCATCGCCGACATTAATCTAACCCCCAAAAGGTTGCAAGTTTTTAAAGTTTAGCAGTATAAAACTAAACTGACATTTCAGGTAAAGTCAGAAATAATTTATACTTGATTAAATTTTCTATAATAATTTTTCTCATGTTAATGAAAAGTTGCTGTATTTATTTATGTCTCTTTTTTCAATACTGTATTAACAATTTCTTACCTACTACGTTATCATTATAGGTTTTCTCGTAATGTAGTTATGGTTATGGATTTTTGGTATAGTTTGTATGTTTAGGTACATTGTCAATCAATTATATAGGCAGATAGTTCATATAAAATTGCAATATTCCGAGAATACGTTGAGGTTTAAACACAACGAACCTTATTGGCTTCCAGTGGATGACAATGAGCGGTACGTAAGCAAGGTCAGTTATATGACTGCTTATATCAGTGTAAAAATTATCCAATCAAATTTCAGCCAACGGTACGTGTTATTTGGAGAGGTCAACGGAACGTGTTATTTGGATAGGGGTCATAGGGAAAGTTGTTCTTTGATCGTTTTATAATTGATAATTATTTTTTTCTTATTTAATTCAAACAAGGAAACAATGTTGAAACAAAATTGTTATTGGATGAGATCAAATACAAAACTACCGATATTAACGACCGGCAGATGCTGCTTTAGAACGGAATAGTCGTACTGCAAGAATATGGAAACTGCCACGATTAGGAGACACGAGTATACTTATTATGAGATAATAGTTAATTGATATTGGTGTCTGTAAAGATAAACCGAGTTCTTAAAAGCTTAATGGGTTATTTTATTAAATGTCACGTGGTTTCCAGTACTGAGTAGATTTCTGTAGGATTAAAAGCAGAAAAAGAAAGTTTATCAGAGAAAACCTTTCAAAGGTATTATTACGAGGAAAACAATCAGAAAAAAGGGAGAAAGAACGAACAATACTAAAAAATTATAACATGTTTTGTAATGTCCCTAAGATGCATCATGTTTTCAGTGGAAAACTTCACAAAAGATATAGGATACAAAAATATTTAAAAAAAAATAAAGGTCATGAAATATTGCAGATGTATTTTATGCTACTATTCATATAATTATCTCAACGTTGTAATACACACGAAAATTAGTCTACCTTGTCTTAAAAACTACTAGCCTTTTATAATGATCATACTAAAATATGGGTCTCATGTAATCTAATTATTGTTTTGTCAGCTCATACATCTTTTTGATGATGAGGGGTCTATTTATATTAAATGATACAACATTTCGTCCCAAAGGTAGGTAATCACACTAAATAAACAAACGGCATAACAGTACATCAGCCAAAAAACACACACACACACACACACTTATTTTCAGTGAGATCTTTACAATTTTAAAAAAGCTACTTAATACTTATATTATTTGTTTCTTATGCAACTCATCGAATGATGGCAATAACAACTGAAAAGTTTACTCACCAATTGTACGAAGGACATTTCCTGATTTCTCCGTCTATTGTATGTTCGGTGAGCGATGTCAAAATTCGAAGATAACAATTTGTATAGTTGTTCAACCAAAGTCATAATATCTACTTGTTGACTTGATCACAGACCAAGCACCTATAATATACTACAAAAATGTACTGTCATAGATTCCTGACGTTAGTATTGCAAACGCTGACGTTATTGTCATATGCTGAGACAGATTGCAAATTGTGACCGTTGGTGACAAAACCGAACTATTTATAAGAAACGATATATCAAGGGCCGCTTTGATGGCACGACGCCTGCGGCCAAATTGTTATTAGCTTCTGAGGCGGAAAGTAAGTCATTAGACACCTACACGAATGTGATGATGGGATTATTAAAAATTCAATAACACTAAATTTCTGAATGCTCTTGATAAAAACTATATTTTTTGAACTCGAGAGCCATGATTGGTTGATAGCAAAAAAAAAAAAAACAAAAAAACAACTGGAAATGAATCTTCTTAGAATTTGCAACAATTACAGTAACTGAAAGAGATGTGGACATTGTTCTATAGATGGAATTTCAGTCATTTTTCAGACTTGACTATGGAAAACATTGTTTAAGTTAGCATCAAATTATTAACGTGCAAAAGGTTTAAAAGCGTATTTCTTACACATGTAGATTACATAATTGCAGATGCTCACGGTGTTCCTTACGCAGAATATTGCATCAAGGAACCTTAGTATTGTCTTTTGACGGTGGTATTGTAACGTCATAATAAATGCGGATAAAACGAAATATTTCAGTGATGAGGCAATTGTTCAGTGATCAAACTGAAAAGAAAATGCTATCTTTTTAAAATAAAAAATTAAATTTTAAGATATTATTTTCAAACGTCCAAATAGAGAAACATTGTAGGAATATTCAGTTAAGCGTTTTATTTAACAGCAGTTGCTTATTGAATAGTCAATGGACAAATATCGAGACATCAAGACACTGAAGGTCCCAAAGGTTAAAGGTTTCTATTCTCAGATTTGTAAGGACGTTTATGCTTTTTATCAAAGGCTGAAAATATGTTTGTCAATAGTTGTATACCTTATCGTGCTACGTATATGTAATAAAATTACATGTGTGTTTGCTTTAAATTCATTTTTTTAATTTTTATATTTTTGCAAGTTATAATGATAACTTTATTCCCTAGAAAATTTTCATTTTCCAGAAAATTTAGTTTACAGTTTTGACCTGATAGCGCCCAATTCGATTGCTACATTGTATTTTTAGCTGACCTAGTTCTTGACATTGGTTCTGAATTCATAAGCGCTGAATGAAAATGATTGGTCGTAGTCAAAGTCATTCTTGGCTTGCTTATTAGCTCTATTTTGTAAACAATTTATTATTGAATCTTTTTGTAAGATTCATTTAATACAATCGAAAATGTATCACCTACGCGATATTTGACTTGTAGTAAGTGATCACGTGACCCATCACGCTAGTCTGAAATTGAGCTCTTGGGTTTAATACTCATTCTAAGTTTTTTTTATAGTCAGTGGTAAACATATACCTTTGGGCTCCAGGTAGTTTTCTTGTTGTCGCCATCTGAGTTGATTTTTCGTATTGAAAATAATTTATTCACCCTGGAAAATACTTGTGTTCACAAAGATTCCAAGACAAAGACATTTAGTGGAGATTATTTGGAATTCTAAAGCCGGAATATTATTCTTGATCCATAAAATTCCAAACGGAACTGTTGACACATCAACACAAGGCAGATTATAGAAGACCTCACCGCCTTCCATATTGGAACGTCTCAAGGATTCGAATTTGGATTTATTTAGAACTTTGTAATGATAAGACTTATATTTGTTAGATTCAAGGATTAATTTCTGAATTATATTCACAAACTGTAAGTCCTTTCTCACAATTTTACTTTTTTTTAGGGAAATAAATTATTCTGTTAAAATTTACAAAACTTGTTGGCTTCACTACATTCTTTGTAATTTTGTACTAGCCGAGACACGTAACAATCTACATACTAGTATCGTCAACGTTTCAATGAGTTATTTAAAAGTTCTTTGTACGTTTGTGATTCTATTACTTACTTATTTTATAGGAATATTATGAATATTGAATTAAATTAAGAAAAAGCTACCTAAAACAATTTCTAAAGATATATAACAATCTCAATCTATTTTTGGACACAAAAGTACAAATAACTTTCGAGTCGAACATACTTGGCTATCTCTCAAATGCGGATGCTTATTAATGGTCACGTGAAATGGAAATGTCGTAAAGCAAACGATGCTACGAAGCTTTCTATTGAGATATGTCGTAAAACAAACGATGCTACGGAGCTTTTCATTGAGATATGTCGTAAAACATACGATGCTACGAAGCTTTTTATTGAGATATCCACAAAATGAAAAAAAAATGTTTCATAAAATCACTTTCTTTTCAAACACTGCGCATTGCAAATCCAGAAAATCTCCTGTATTTCAGGTACTTTGATTGCATAATGTATCTGGATTGAATTATTTGAAATAAATACTCCTTTCGGGCTTTCATCCTAATTTTATTGAAGAACTTGTTTATATCAAATATATCAAATACTATATATTAATATATACAAAAATTTG